CCCCGAAGGGTGTGAAGGAGAGCTTGTGGTTGGCCAGGGCCACTTTGGGGAAGCAAGAAAAGCTGAGTCTGTTTGCTGGCGACGAGGCCTGCCGTGTCAGGGATAGAGCGAGAGAGTAAAGGGACAGTCCTGTTCTCCCGTCCCTGCTGCTGATGCTGTGCTCTTCCCTGGTCTCGGATGGGAAAGGTGGGCCGAGACAAGCTATGCGTTCCATTCATACCGCAGACCCATAGCTCCAGCCCCAGGACACTGGGTGTGCATACCACTTGCAGGTGAAATGCTCCTACATAACCCTGCTTTTGGAACATGCATGGAAATATATTTCAGAGCATGGCTTCCTAGGGCTTCATGTCTCAGGGGCCAACGATGGGGTTCTGTAGCCCCTTTCCTGGCTAGACGGGTTCCATGCAGTGCTGCCCAGACCCGGGGACCTATGAGACGAGCCCCAAAGGAGTTCTAGGAGTCTCCTTTTCTAGTAAGTTCAACACGCAGGGAGCACATACTAAAGTGTCAGCTGTGGCTGTGGAAGATTCTTTGTTTTCCAGAAGCACACCATCGTCTGGAGACCACCCAATGACACGAACTTAAGAGTGGGAAACCTTCATCTCGGTGGCCAAGCTTACGAAGTCTTTTCTGCTTTCAGGACCCAGCGCGCTCTTTTTCATCTCCAGGCCCACGTGGGCTGGCTTCCACTTGGCCACTTGATTTTAGCTCAGACAGCGCTTTCTCCAGGAAGCCTTCCCTTCCCAATGCCCTTTCTCCAGGCTTGCACTGGCCTCTATCTTTCTACTGCTGGGGCATCGGTCTGGTTGTAACTGTCTGGTGACATCTAGACTGCACGTTGGGGAGGGCAGGGGTAATGCCTGCCTCATTTACTCCGCTATTCCCAGTATTCATTCATTCATTGATGCATTAACTTATTGATGGAGCACCTGGTATGAGCCAGTCAGATGGTCAAAGAAGAGAACGTCATTGCGAGGCTTTATTACTGGTGTGTGTGTTTGGGGGAGGAGGGGTGTTGCAGGAGGTGCACCGTGAGTCTTTGAAGGAGTTTGAAAAGGGAAGACAGTAGGGGGCAGGGATCCTCGCTGCATCATGCCATCACCCCTAGAAGACGTCTGGGCTTTCATGGGAATAAATCTGGGAATCATTAATAAGTGGGAAGGTTGCTCACATTCAAGGAGCTCCTACCACAAGCCAAGATGGCTTTCCAGATGCCAAGCACGTTGACAACGTCTGCCCTTCACCCCGAGCTGGCTGCAGGCCAGGACACTTCTTGGGCTCTCTCATTTGATCTTTGGACAACCCTGGGGGCAGAGATGGCTGTCCCTGTTTTTACAGATGAGGGACTGAACCTCAGAAAGGGTGGGATTGGGTGAAGACTGCATAATCTCCAAGCTAAATTTTAAAGTTGATATTTAAAGATTTTCATCATATGTTTACATAACTGCCAAAGATGCCAGAGTACTGTATTTTGAATATGTACATTACATTATATTTTTTCAAAAGATTAGAACAGTAGATTTAGTTCATGCAATTTACAGAAAATGTCTATGTATCAACTCTACCCCTTACCAGCCATTTGACCTATGGCAGCTACTTAACTGCTTATATGTCAATGTTGTCTCTAAATTAGAAAGGCTAATAGTAGCTACTTATGAGGCTGCTGGGAAGATTACATGAGCTGATTCACATAAAGTGTTTAGAATAGGGACTAGTCCATACTGCCATATATGTGTTTGCTGTTGTTATTTTTATGTGATTGTGAAGCCAGTCTTCATTGTCAACATTAGCTAAAGCAAACATACTTTTGGTCAGAAAAGTAAGATTTTCTTTTTTAATTCAAATAAATATATTACTCCCTGCCCCCTGACAACCTTCTCTCTCATGAATTTTAATTCTAGTGAAGACAGGTAAGGCCCTGTGCCCCATAAACCAAGTGGAACACCTTCCCTGCTTCTTTCTTGGGTCTCAGGAGCCTGCCTTTTCCAGCTCCTGTCCGTTGTTAGGAATCCCGGGATTCTGTGTCCTGGCACTGTGCCCCGGGGTAAGCCAGATGAGAGGCAAATCTTGCGTTTGCAAAACTGAGCAGGAGCTGGGAAGGGGAGGTGGGTCAGGCAAGCCAGCATCAAGGAGGAGCCTCTCAGGCAGACGTGCTGCAGAAGAGCACATGTGTGAAAGCTGAGAAGATGGATTCTGGTGAAAATGATGCATGTCCACACCCCTTGCAAAGTCTTTCTGTAGCCCGAGGGGTGTGTGTACTTAGTTTATAGTTCCCATTTGTCAGTGACCACTAGTGTATGAGGCAGCCCTCTCTTAGCTGGGGCGCAGCATCCCAAAGCACATCAGATGAAAGAGTCAAAGGTTTGCTGGATTTTTCCTCCTTAGAAAGGTCAGATTGCAGGCAGGTGCTCCGCTGACATGCCATGGCCAAGTCCTATAGGCCCTTGTTATTCAAAGAATGGTCCATGGACCAGAATGCCTGGCAAGGCCGCTAGATCAGGCCCCACCCACTGAGTCAGAATCTGCTACAAACCGGGGGTTCTGAACGTTGGCAGCACCTTGGAATCTCTGATCAAGGGCAGCTTTTCACAAATCCTGATGCTCAGGCCACATGTCAGAGCAATGAAACCAGAACCCTGGTCCTGTGGTTGTCCAAGCAACAGTTTTAAGGTCCCAGTGATTCCCGTGTATGGCCAATGCTGATGGATGCAGGTGCAGGCCCTCCGCCCCCACTCCCATGGCATGCTCCTCTCTTCACCTGAGCTACTAGGGTGGGCACAGCCCTTTCCCACCCTAAGCCAGACCCCACAACTTGGTCCTGACTCCTCTTCCTAGCCTTTTCTCCAAATGCTCCCCCATCCACATGTCCTGGCACACAAGAGCTGCACACACACACACACACACACACACACACACACACACACACACACAGCTGCCCTGCTTCTTGTCCAGGCAGAAGGCTGGCCCAGGAAATGCCTGAAAAACTGCAGGGCTGAAGACCATCTCTGCTACTCCTGGGAGTTGTCTGGCACACCAATTTGTCTTATGAAATTAAAGCTATTTTAAATTACTCCTCTAAGGGGAGTGGGCAAAGCCCACATTAGGCAATTTTCTTTGGTTTCCACAGCATAAAATTTGCCTGGAAATAACCAGCTTTCTATCATGTGTAGTAATGTTAACACAGAACTTCAAATGAGGGCCCCTCCCTTCTAAATAATAGTCTTACTCTTTGGTGGCACAAGATAAGTCTGTGACCGCAGCCAGCAGACCCCTGACCGCCACGCTTCAAAGGAAACCTTCTCCAATCGCGCGTTCCAGCTCGCTCTGGCAGCCGAGCCTGACCTCAGTTCAAACCCACCATAAAGGCTCTTTTAACGCAGAGGCATGCACTGGGGTTTGGGCCTGGGTTCCTCTGCTTTCCCTTCATGCTATGGAAATCATTTACTGATTTGCTTGTATTAAATTCAGGCATATTTCATGTCTAGCCACAGGATAGAGGAGGGGGACTCCCCTCACCATCACTGCCACCCATGGGCCTTCCTCCCCAGGGATCCGGACTCCCAGCTGTGGTACTTTAGTGCGGGCGGCCTTCCACACCTTCACCTCCTGCCCTTGCTGGGCATCCCCATTTTTTTTTTAAATATATTTTTATTGCTTTCAGAGAGGAAGGAGAGGGAGAGAGAGATAGAAACATCAATGATAAGAGAGAATCATTGATGGGCCGCCTCTTGCACATCCCACACTGGGGGTCGAGCCCGAAACCTGGGCATGTGCCCTGACTGTTGGGATTGGGATGGGTTGCAGAAGCTGCTGGGAGGTGTCCCAAGGAGATCTTTAAGGCCATACGGCCACCTATGGCACTTGGCGGAGGAGGAGCACTGCAGAGAGGGGAGGGATGAGAAGGACTTGGGAGGCTGCTTCTACCCTGGGACTGTGACGCATGCCGCCCGCCTCTGCAACATAAGATTTGCCTATATCTCCACAAATGCTCCCAGCACACTGTGCAACTTCCACTCTAGGCGAGGCCTCCCTCTCACACAGGAACTTCATCCAGAGCAGAAAAAGCTGAGGGTTCTGGGCCAAACACCAAGAAACTTTGGTGTGCACATGGCTGTATGATTCATCTCTCCAGAGATAACATAGTTGTCAAAGATCTAAAGTCTGAACCACCCCGAGTTTCCAAACCTTCTTTCAGAAAATGCCACCTCAACGGCACTCAGGAATTTACACTTTTAGTTCAACATTTCTGATGAGACCTGCAACTTTTCTATTTATCAGGAAAGGCATGAATTAGCCACTTATAGTAAGAGGAAATGGCTTACCAACTATCAGCGTTAATTCTCGAGATTCCGTTTAATTACACAATACTCTACTTCCTCTTCCTCAGTTAACATGAATAAGCAATTGTCTGAAATATGAAATATACAAACCACAGCAAAGACTAACAAATCCGAAACTGTGTATGTGTGCTCTTTGTGTACCGAGCAAAGCAGATGGCATCGTCGAAAGAAAAGACTGAAGAAGGGAGACAGTCCTTCCCCTCCCCGAGTTCCAGGAGCGTCTCGGAAACCATTTTTGGAGTTTATTTCTAAACCACAGGCCGATAACAACAAAGAGCTTTTAAGTCTTTGGCTACAGCCATCCAGAGTAAATCACTCCCTTATTAACCTAGAGAGTAACGATCAAGTCAAAGATGCTCTCTTGTTCCTTAGCCCGCGTCTGTTTCAAATGCCTGCCTCCACATTCCACGTTGCCACATGTGCGAACACTTAGACGTTGGAATACGTTCCCTGTTACAGCTGTCACTGTGCATTGCTTCTCAACTCAAAAAGAGATTTAAAAGATGATCAGATAGAAAATACTTCCAAGCTGAGAACAAATCCTCTTATTGTGACTCCAACTACTTTCTGTCTCTATCACAAGGTTAGATTAAGTAATCCCTTGGCCGTGTTCCCAAACACCCAGACATATTTTATGTGAAGAGTGAGTCACGGCGGCACCGCTTTCAGGCTTCGGACCGACTCCTTGGAGTGAAACAAACGGTCGTCCTAGGTTATTGGTGATGATGGATTGGGAGCGAGGCATTGTCCAAGTGAAGGAAAACAAAATAGGAAAATGTTGCCTTGCCAACCTGAAATAAAAAGAGCTAATCGTCTTGTGTGAGTTGTGTCAACTAAGACGTATGGGATCGTGGCAGAGCCTGGAGAGACGGACGTTCAAGGTGAGCTCTGTCATGAATGAAATATTTAGGCTCCAGAGTCAGGTGTGAACTTCTAAGAGTTTCATGGAAAAAGATAATTGCTGCCTTTCCTCCATCCAGTGCTGTTTTCCGTGGGGCAGAGTTTTAGGATGGCAATTTCAAAAGAGAGTGAAGTCAGTTATTTCCTAAAATGTTGGTGTTAATCCAAACACTATTTAACGTATGCATGAGGGGACAAACATGATGAATGGATTTGGTACCTAGAGCCTTTGCCTTGTCAGATCCCCATCCGAGGAGAATTTCATTTCTGCCAGACCACTCATGAGAATTTTTGTGGTTTTTGAATCAAGATATCAGACAGAGGGGAAAAGAACCCCAGACGCAGCGGGGAAAAGGAGAAAACTAGGAAGTCTTCCATGTCTGACTCAGTGCTGTCCAATACTGAGCTACAGATATAATTGAAAATTTCCTAGTAGCCATATTAACAAAGTAAAAAGAAATAGGTAAAATTAATCTTAAATATATTTAACCCAATACATTATCATTTCAACATGTAATCCATACAGAAATTATTAGTTTAGCCCCAGCTGGTGTGGCTCAGTTGACTGAGCACCGTCCTGTGCACCAGGAGGTCACCTGTTGGATTCACATTCTCAGGATTTTCAGGCTCGATCCCCAGTAGGGGGCGTGCAGGAGGTAGCCAAACAATGTTTCTCTCTCATCGATGTTTATCTCTCTCTCTGAAATCAATAAAAAAATATTTTTTAAAAATTGTTAGTTTATCTTTTTTTTAACCAAGCCTTCAAAATCCAGTGTGTATTTTACACTTAAAGCAGGTCTCAATTCACTAGCCACACTGTGGGTGCTTAACAGCCACATGTGACTGGTGGCTACCATAGTGGACAGTACATCTAGATAATAAATTACTGGGGAGAAGTAAAAATGAAGAAAAGCCCTAGAGGCTTAGGTTTAGGAGTTTGGGCAAGGATGAGATTTTTGAAGAGACGTGCTGGAGCAGCTGTGAACTGTCAGGTAAATGTACAGAATTGCTGTGGAGCATGTACTTAGATCCATCCATTTCAGAACTATCAAAGAGTAAAAATAAAATATTTGAGTTTTGAAATTAATTTGGGTAGATGGACTATGTTTCCTGAAACTGGACCACTTGATCCTGGCTTTATAAGGGTTACAAATGCAACCTGGATGGAGGAAAAGTAGACTAAAATGTGAGGTAGAAAGTATGATTGTGGGCAGAGGCCAGAGCTATACTATTACCTAGATTTATATGAGGAATGCTTGTCCCTTGTCTGGCATGGGTCACAACCAACCCAGGAGGGCCGAAGTTAGCACATAAATCAAATACAGGAGAGTATATCAATTGGAATGGTCTGTGGGTATTACGGAACAACTAGAGGCCCAGTGCACAAAATTCACGTGGGGGGGGGGGGACAAGAAAGGGGGTCCCTCAGCCTTCACCCTCTAGCAATCCAGGACCACTGGCTCCTAATAGCCCCTAATCACTCACCTGCCTGCCTGATCACCCCTAACCACTCTGCTTGCCTGCCTGATCACCACTAACTGCTCACTTGCCTGCCTGATATCCCCTAACCACTCTGCCTAGGCCCCTGCCACTGCAGCTTCGTCCAGAAAGATGTCCGGAATGACGTCCAGAAGGTTGTTAGGCTGTCCAGTCTAATTAGCGTATTACTCTTTCATTAGTATAAATGGCCTTAAAACCCTTGGAGGAGAAGGGCATGGCCACATGACTCAGAGCCTGACCTGTGGTGTAGTGTGGGCTGGTTACCTGGGTGCAGCAGCACAAAACAGGATAAAGGATGCCTGCCACCAACTTGCACCACAGGACAGGAGACACTGACATTCAGACCTTCATAGGCAGCTCAAGCCCAAGGCTCAGGGCAGCCCAGAGCTCTGAACTCACCTATGTCAGATGGGAGTAAAAATCTTGCCAAATCAGCATGTCAGCACCATTTTGGTGGCCCAATCTTGTGAGATCCTGTGAAAAAAAAAATATGCTGCCCTGTGAGAGTGCTCTACTCTTCCTGGAACTGGGACCTGTCATGGATGCCGGGATAATCCCATGGATGTGGGTCCTGAAGTTCCTTCGAGCATCTGGTCAACCCGGCATCGGGGAAAGGGAGTACCCCAGAAGGAAGAAATGAGAGCCAGAGTTCATACAGATGGAATTAGTGGCTTCAGCTGGTCCCAGACATCAGATGGAACTTGGAAAATTTCAAGAAAGTAACTCCAAAGCATGGAGTGCCCGAGGCAAGGACGGAGACCCGCTTTGTGAGTCTAAGGCCGTGTGGGAAGGGACCTCTCCGAGAGTGAAAGAGAATAAAGTCGATATAAAGAGAGAAACAGAGTAGGGGAAACCAAGTGAGGGACACAGTTCTGACACGAAGTCCTTGAGACCAGTTCAAGCCCTGCAATGATCAGCTTTGGCAGTCAGGAAATTCTCTTTCTGACATTAGCTAGTTTGCCTGGGGTCTCTGCCACCTGCAACTCAAAGGGCCCTGGCCAATGCCAAACTGTTCAGTGCCTTCAAGATCAAAGTCATAGTTTCCATCATCTCAGGAGCCATTCCCTCCTTCCCAGTCCTAACACCATGTCCCGGCATAGTGTTGTCTGAACACGTCCCGGAGGTGCTGAGCAAGCAAGGTTGTAACAAAAGTGCAGCAAAAGTATATCCCTTCCTGGAAAAGCACTTGAGTGTGTGAAGGGTCATCCCCATAGCAGGATGAGAGCCTGGATTTATAATGAGGTCTTTTCAAAATGCTTCCATCAAGAGATTGTCCCACCCTCCTCCACCCAGCTCAAAGCAGCTTCGTGGCTTCACGATGCGTTTGGAGTCCTGTGTGATCTGGTCCCAGCCAACCTGCATCTTCAATCTCATGCCATCTACTCCCCACTCCCACTCTGTGCTCTTCAGCCTTTCTAGATTTCTTCCCGTTTCTTTAACGTGCCAAGTTTAGTTCTGTCTGAGGGCCTTTGCAACAGCTGTCTCCTCCACCTAGAATACTCTTTCCTCTCTCTCACTTCTTTTTGTCTCAGATCTCACTTTAAAGGAGACAGGTCTTCCCAGAGCCCAATCACTCTCTATCATCCTATTTTCATTCCTTTAACAATAACTGCTATTTGATTTGTTTTATTGGTTGTTTATTATCTGTCTCCCATTATATTTAAACTCCTTGAGAGTAGGAATCTTATTTGTCTCGTTCACTGCCATATCCCCAGTATCTAAAAGAATACCTGGCACATAGTAGATGCTCAGCAAATATTTATGAATTACACCACCTGATGCACACAGGCTGTTTTGGTTGACAGATGTAGAGTGTCTTCTGGGGAATGTCATCCTTTCAGCTCTTTGGCTAAGCCTAGAGATGACTTATTTATTTGGCTTAACAGACCACTGTTGAGAGCGTACTCTGCATAGACTCTGTCTGAGGTGATAACTGGACAGGACTCTAAACTTCCAGTGCAGACGGATGGGAGAGACAGACACAGACAATGAAGACAATGTGGTAAGTGCTGTGATTGAGCTGGGGGAACAAAGAAAAGAGCGTGGTCTTTCTGTTGGCACAGACATTCAGGCAGTTAAGTCAGGGGAAGCCACGGAGAAGCATCCTTTGGGATGCGTATCTTTCCCCTCTTGCAACGCCTCACAGATAAGAATTATAGAAGGAATTCTCCCCATTCTTCTCTCTCCCTAAAGTATGGGTATATGTGAAAGGCCCAGGTGTGAGCAGCTTGTCCTGAAGGAAGGGAAAGCTGGACCACCAGGTACTTGGGAGACGGTGATTATTCTGTTTGCATGTCAACAGCCAATTAGGTTACTTACGCCCCTCAAGTGGATTTTGCATTAAATGCATACCTGATTTTGCCAGTGTTTTATAATCTGCTAAAGTAACTAATGGCCCCTCCTATCCTGGCTTAGGGTAAGGTGGTAAGAAATGAAATAGTAGTGGGTGGTGGGGCCTCCTGCCCACTGAGGGCTTGGGAGGACAGCCAGCCAGCAGTGTCCCCAGCCAGCAGTGTCCCCATAGGAGTCCCTGAGTTCTGGCTTCCATCCCACTGCCCCAAGGGGATTCACCCATAAGACCAGCCTCATCAGATAGCAGCATGCTACCCGCTCTTCACCTTGGGCGCTGACTCACCTCCGCCTGCCGCACTCACCCAGACTATGGAATTCAGAATGCAAGAAGAAGACCCACCTGGAGCACCCCAGGCTCCAGGCAGATCCCGAGGTCTTTGCACACCATGATGTGTCAGAAGTTACTCACTGTCCTAAGGATCCTTGTATAAACTTGTAAAGGATCATGGCTCATCATCAGAACGAAGCAACATCCAACTCCTCATGGCTAGACAATGAGTCAGTCATAAAAGGGAGAGCGGACTTCTCACTTTGAAAAGGAAGCCCGAAATCCACTTTCTGCTACATTAAACACACACATACATATGGGCAGGATGATATAAATAGATGAGACCTATGTAAACTGCAAACCCATAATTTATAGGCCATCTTGTCTAAGGAAAACTAGCAGACAAAGAGATGGGGTGAGAGGCTGGAGTTGGGCACCTCTGGGGGGACACAGGGCACCCCCTCACACTGAGGCTGGACAGTGGGAGGTACCTTAGCTTCTGTTTCTTTGGCCCCTAGAGGGATCAGCCCTAAATCAGCTGATCCCTCCTTCCTACAGAACTCCCGCTGAAGAGTCACAGCTGCCAGAAAGGATGATGAATGTTGGAGCTGGAAGCATACTAGAAACTCTCTAGGCCAATCCCCTCATTTGTAAACAAGGCAAGAGAGTCCCAGAAGGGAGCCCTGCCTTGTCAGAGGTCACACAGCAAGACCATGCTGGAGGCAGGCAGAAGCCAGGGCTCCCGAACCCCAGGCCATCGCACTCCCAGGGCGCCCATCATCACACTGTCTGGTACTGTGAGTTATTTTCCATGTGCCTGTCCCAACTCCTAATGAGACGCTAATCTCCATTGCTTACGTACCTACAATGCTTTACTCTTTGTGATCCCCAGTAATCCCTTAATTAGAAGGTTCCTTAGGACCTTAGTCTTAACATGATGCTTGATGAATAGCCTCCAACGGGCTACTCCCAACTTCTCAGGAAAATACCTAAGACAACACTGACAACAGTAAAAGCCTCCTTCTGTGGATAAAAATTAGTATTCAAACAAGTGCCAGGCAAGAAACTGGGTTAAACATGCCATTTTCAGGACCCCTCTCTCTGTGTGCCTGGGAGTCAGCCCCTAAAACCAAGCAGCCTCTCCTCAGGTCCTGGGAGACATGGATGTGGAGGAACTGGGCTCCGCAGCAGCCTGAGGGGTGGGGGTTGGGGGCGGGGGAGCCTTCACAGACATGGTGCTGTAGCCGTAGCCTGCAGAAGGCAGAGCCTGGAGGCAGGCACACTGGGGCACCGTTCTTTCTGCACACTCCATGCCTTTACTGTGTCAGAGAGCTAGCTATCGAGGAGTGCTCCTTAGGAGAAGGATTTCTATTAGCAAATGTTCAGTAAATGAAAACCTGCTGGCCACTAGGAACAAGGCCAGAAAAATTGCACCACAATCTATGCCTCCACGATCGAATGGGCTCTGACAGACACCTCTGATGACAGAGGCAGCAATAAGCATAAGCCTCCCACCTCTCTTCTGAAGATCAATGGCTCTAGGATAGATCTTCCAAGGCTTGAGGATAAGCAGTGGGGGAGAAAACAAGGAAACAATCCTGTGACATCTGAAAAAAAGCACTCAGGTTTGCAGTTAAAAAGTTTTGAATGCAACGAACCCCTCCTGCAATAGGTCCACAAGAAGCGGAGCTGACAGCATAGGACAGGGAATGGGTAATGTGGAGGACAAGCTTGAGACTTAAAGAGGGTGTGGAAAAGGGCAACGCGAGGAAAGTGACGAGGGAGAGAAGACTAGGTGTGTCCTCACTCTCCATCCTGCCACATCCAAGAACTAGTACGCTTGGAGCAAACACAATAATGGACGATATAATTAAAGAAAACGTCACTTGGTATGCAAATGGAAAGGACTCCTAGTATTCTAAGTAAAAATAAATTTAAAGGGGGCTGTGCAGAAGAGTTAGCAAAGCAGGCCCGAAATTGCTATTCGTAGCGAGGTTTGCTTGCTGGTGTCTGGGAAGTTGGCTGGCAAACAGTGCCCTACGCTGATGTAATAAGTAAGGATAAGTAAGAGTGGCTCATGTGCCTGAACTGGTTTTGCAAACACTGTGGTTTCTGCTGAGACCCTGCTTTCCTTCTGGAAGTCTGAAATTTGGGGGGATGCTAGGTAGAATGGCTATATGATCAGACCCCAATAAAAAACTTGAATTCTGAGTCTTTATTGGACACATCCACATATGTGGTCTCAGTTTCCTTGTCAGGGAGAGTGAGCTCTGTTGGCCCCTAAAGAGGAAGGCAGGATAAAGAATCTGGGCTGACCCAGCTGGTGTGGCCCAGTGGTTGAGCATCGGTCCATGAACCAGGAGTTCACGGTTCAATTCTCCATTCCCAGCAAGGGCACATGCCTGGGTTGCAGGCTTGATCCCCAGTAAAGGGCATGCAGGAGGCAGCCGATCGATCTCTCATCACTGATGTTTCTATCTCTCTCTCTCCCTTCCTCTCTCTGAAAAATCAGTAAAAACATATTTAAAAGAAAATCTTTATTGTTGAAAGTATTGCATATGTCCTCCCTTTCCCCTCATTGACTTCTTCTAGCCTGTCCCCTGTACCCTACCCGAGGCCTTCACCACCCTATTGTCTGTGCCCATGGGTTATGCATGTATGCATACAAGTTCTTTGCTTGATCTTTTCCTACCCACCCACTCTCCACCGCTTCCCCTCAGCGATTCCACAGTCTGTTCCATGCTTCTATGTCTCTGGATCTATTTTGTTCATTAGATTCCACATATGAGTGAGATTATGTGATATTTATCTTTCTCTGACAGACTTATTTCGCTTAGCATAATGCTCTCCAGGTCCAGCCATGCTGTTTGCAAATGGTAACAGCTGCGTAAAAAAAAATAAGCAGCCTGGGCTCGTAAGCTCCAGACTCTGGCCGTGCCTTTTTCCTTCTAAGGCAGTTGTGTGTCCTACATTGCTGAAATAAATCTTAGCCCTGATTATACTTAATGCAGAGTTTTGTGAGTCATTTTGGTGAATTTCCAAACATAGCAATGGCCTTGGGGACCCCTGACACAGGGCTTCACTTAAAGCACATTTTAGCAAAATATTTGAATTATAAGAATAATTTACTTGTATAAAAATCAAGGAAATAAAAACAACTTCTTACTAAGAATATAAAAATTGGTTGGCTTCAGGCTTCTTTTGCTACCTTATATGGAGCCGCCTTTGGAGGGTTTTGAAGAGAGAAAATTGGGACTCAATAATTTGTAGCCTTCAGAGTAAAGGCATTAGACAGACATTCTTAGATATGCAAGGACTCAAGAGAGACTAACATTAGTAACTGAGATCATAAAGTTTCAAATGTAAGAATTAGGAATTCACGGTATGCAATTCTTCTTTTATAGAGATCCTAAACTCAAAACCCAGTTGGATTTTTTTTTTGAAGAATTCTGTGACTTTAGGCGTAACCTTTCACTATTTCCCTCAGTTGCTTTTCTGCTTCTAGTTTTATTGCGACCAAGAAATGAATTCCTTTGTGCCACATCTTTCACCCCACAATTTAGAAGAAACCTTCTGCCACAGTTAATGGTCACTTAAATCTATTAGGCAGTGTATTTCTGTTCTTAATGACAGCTAAACATAAAGGATAGCAATGAACCTCAATTTGCGAGAGTTATTGTATTGAGGATTGTTGTGTTGAGTAGGATTCTGAGTCACATTAGAACTCCATGGGAAAGGATAAGGGGATCAGAGAATTATGCTTGGCCTGGGGAAAAAAAATGGAACATGCCATTCATTTGTTACCTTGATCACATACTCAGGATACTGTAGTTTAAACATTAATAAAAAAAATCTTAATTTTGTGTACAAAAGAATAGCTTCATAGAGCATAAAAACAGACCATTTACATTTCAAGAAGCTGCAGTAACGATTTTCTGCATTTAAAACGTTCACATTAGGAAAAAAGTTACTCCCTTTAAGTGATCGTGTGTATATGTGTGAGTGTGTGTATATGTGTATGAGTGTGTGAAAGTCACTAAACCACTCAAATGCAATTACTATCTGTCATCAATGGTACCAAAATAGTTTTTGATTTGGGCCTCTAATCACTCCTTGGTTAACTATGCTTTAAAAAGCAATTATGCACCATGATCTCAACTGTATAAAAGTAATGACTATTGAGACACAGGATGGTGGTTACCAGAAGGTAAGGAGGGTGGGGGAGCATGAAGAGGGTGAAGGAGTTCAAGGATAAGGTGACAGAAGGGGACTAGACTGCAGATGTGAGCACATAATAGGGTACCCAGATGTCGTATTATAAAGTTGTACACCTGCAACTTACATAACGTTGTTAACCAATGTTTATTCCAATAACTTTAATTTAAAAATAACAAATAATAAAAGTAATGCATATTAAAAAGTAATTAAGGGAATCTACCAAAAGTGTTAATCAAGGTTACCTCTAAGGCAGGGGTCCTCAAACTTTTTAAACAGGGGGCCAGTTCACTGTCCCTCAGACCGTTGGAGGGCCGGACTATAGTTTAAAAAAACTAGTCGGCTGCTAAGCAACAAGCAGCGGCGGCAAAAACACCCGGTGGGCCGGATAAATGTTTTCGTCGGGCCGCATGTGGCCCGCGGGCCGTAGTTTGAGGACCTCTGCTCTAAGGTGTAGGTTTTTGAGTGATTTTTCACTTCCTTCTATTATTTATCTTGGCTCTTCTCAGTTTGCATAACCATCAGATCCATTCTCCACTTTTCTCTACCTTGCTCTGTGACCCAGCATCTGTAACTTCTCTGGGCCACATTGCCTGGCTCTCTTGTTCTCTGGCTTCTGGTTGGGCTTGGCCAATGGAGGTATTTGGAAGAAATCAGAGAGAGGAAGGGAAGAGAGGCCAGGAAAATAAAATGTTTGAGTAACACTGGTGCTTTGTGGTATTTCTCAGCAGTATGGTGGGCCCCTCAGGCACATTTGCTGCTCTCCTTCCTGCTTTTGGATATTCTTCCCCAGGTATATGAGTAAATTACATCAGCTCTAAAGCTTGCACTCATCAGAATCGACCCCAAACTTGTTCTCCTAGAGCAGTGGTTCTCAACCTGTGGGTCGCGACCCCTATGGCAGTCGAACGACCCTTTCACAGGGGTCGCCTAAGACCAGGGGTCCTCAAACTTTTTAAACAGGGGGCCAGTTCACTGTCCCTCAGACCGTTGGAGGGCCGGACTATAGTTTAAAAAAACACTATGAACAAATTCCTATGCACACTGCACATATCTTATTTTGAAGTAAAAAAACAAAACAGGAACAAATACAATATTTGTATTTGCATGTGGCCCGCGGGCCGTAATTTGAGGACCCCTGCCTAAGACCATCCTGCATATCAGAGATTTACATTACGATTCATAACAGTAGCAACATTACAGTTATGAAGTAGCAACGAAAATAATTTTATGGTTGGGTCACAACATGAGGAACTGTATTTAAAGGGCCAGAAGGTTGAGAACCACTGTCCTAGAGGATTTCTATTCCTTCCATGATGAAGAAAGTGAGGGTCCGGGACTGAGGACGAAGGCTGAGGTCAGGGTGGCACCCTGGATTCTGAATTCTGCTTAATATATCCTAACTTCAAACACGGGGAGACTGGGTGCAGTTCTATGCTAGAAATGTTTAATGTGATAAAATGCTAGTTTTATACTAAATATGAGGAAAATCAAGCAACTTTTTCTGATATTTAAAGAAAATATTTATGAATCCCATTAATTAGATAATGGTGAAACCTTCCTTACAGGTTTGAGAAATCAGACCAAAAACTGAACATAGCCGAAACCGGTTTGGCTCAGTGGATGGAGTGTCGGCCTCCGGACTGAAAGGTCCCAGGTTCGATTCCGGTCAAGGGCATGTACCTGGGTTGCGGGCACATCCCCAGTAGGAGATGTGCAGGAGGCGGCTGATCGATGTTTCTCTCCCATCGATGTTTCTAACTCTCTATCTCTCTCCCTTCCTCTCTGTATAAAATCAATAAAATATATTTAAAAAAAAAATTGAACATAAATAAATTTCTTTTTTTTATGCTTGTGTTCTGAAATAAAATAACCAAGTTAGTCTACATCTCGGTTTCTCTGTCTATGGGTTTCTCAGTTTTGTTCTCCTGGGCAGGCAGCTGATAGGGTTTTTTCATTTTATTCTCTTTGATCACTGAGTTACCCATTTTGACATCTTGATTTTTAATTTTAACAATAGAATAAAAATATACATTTAATATTCATATTTATATAATATTGGGGAGACAGAAGAAAGTTTGAAAAAATAAAATAGTAAAGGAATAAAGTACAAAGAAAAGGACTAATAGATCAGCTATATAATACAGGTATTTTTAAAACTCTGACAAAAATGCAAAAACATCATAAGATAAAAAGACAAATGACAGATACCTATACACAACACAGGCACCAAAGAATCGATATCCTTAATGTAATAAGCTTGTGCAAATCAATTTTCAAATGAATTACACAACAGAAAACTGGGTAAAGTAAATGAGCAGTAAATTTACAAAAAAAAAATTAAAATGGACAATGAATGAATAAGATAGTTCAGTTTGATCGCTAAAAAATGAGTTAAAAGTTTAAAAAGTTTGTCATAAATTTGAAAAAATCCTTGCCAATTTGACAGACGAAAGGCTATAACACCCAGTGTTGCAAGTATAACTTTTCTTAAAGGCAATTTCTCACATCTTTCAAAACTCTCTCTTTTAAAAAAACTTTCATAAGAGTTTCTTTGAGCCAAACTGAGGACATATGCCAGGGAGCAAGATCTCAAATGCTCCTCAAAACTCTTTCAACTTCACATGCCCATCCACACAGAAATTGCCTTACCGCCGAGTCACAGGAGGTGGGCTTACCGATTTGTACCGAGTGAGCAGGTCAGGATTATAATGGCAAAATTTGGGACAACCCCAAATCAGGGGATTGGTTAAATTGGTGAAGATAAGTCTATGCAATGGAATATATGCAGCTGAAAATCATGTATAGAGGACATTAAACTGAATGGGAAAGAGCTGATCTACCGTTTGGTGAACCACAGGAAACACAAGCTAGCTTGCATTCCACACAGATGTGTGCTGCGAGGTGGTTCTGAGCTGTGGAATCTGGAGTACCCAGCCCGCACTGACCCCTGACCCCACCTCCCTCCCTGAGAAATTCTGGGCAGAGTTCCTGCCCCTTCAAAACTGCAGTGCTTCCATTTGTAAAAATGGTGTTAATAAAAGTACTTCCCTTATAGAGTTATACTATATGCAGTCTGAGATCATGCAGACAATGTATTTAGTACACTGCCTAACCCAGAACTGCACATTAAGTCATTGTTTTTTAAAAACAAGGCTAACAATATTCATGAAAAGTAGCCCAACAGAACCCACTCTGAAACCCTCGGTAGGGAGGCTTTGGCTTCATGAGCTTTTGCTTCTTTTACTCTTCTAGGTTTTCTACATCGAATGTAGATGGCATTTATAATGTTAAAAGACACATACAATAGATATCACTTTACAAGAGGTGGCCAGGAGTCTTGGGAAATAGCTGAAACCCATCTTTCTAGGAAGAAAAGGAAGAAGAAATGGCCAAATGAAGGGAACCACCCCCACACTCTAGGAAACAAGCTCCCAGCCTATGGACTACTCCCCAGCCTGCCAGGCAGCAGGCCCAGGGTCACGGTGCGGCTGTGCGGGGTGCAGGCTGCACACTGGCCCATTGTCTGCCCACGGTCCGCTGTGGTCAATGGGAAGCAGATGGCCACGATTCCCTGAGCGCACTGCACTTCCCTCACACACCTCGGATGCAGGGCCTGCTTTGAGCCCAGCCGCCAGCGAAGCAATCTGCTTTTCATTTTATGGTAGAGAAAAGCCAGAGAGGGAGGGAGGGAGGCCATAGTTTGGAAGGCGTCGGGGGAGTTAATACAAGAATAATTCAAATCTCCCCTACTCTGAAAGGCAAAGCAGTCCAACCCCACAGGAAGCCTGCAGCGCTGGCCTGAAAACTCAAACTCACCTCAAACTACCTCCGGTGGCTGCAAGCCAACCCCGGAACCCACGACCTGGAAGCGGAGGCTCCAGGCTCTTTGGACCAGCAGGGGAAGGGAATTCAAACAGGGGCTTCTTCAGTCTGCACTGTGAAGAGGAGCTGGAGGAGGACTGGGCAGGGGCCTCAGAGCAGCAGGGGAATCACTATAAACACTGAAATGGGGGGAGCCATCTGGCCTGTGGGGGCCCCCCACCCTCCACTTGCCTTGAAGTGCTATCCCTTCCTGGGTAGGACCTTGGGTTGTGCAGTGCCCATCTATCCAGGATCTTATCCCAGCTCTCTGCTTTCTTACTGTGTTACCTTAGGTGAGCTACCTAACCTCTCTGAGCCTCTGTGTCCTCATCAGACAGATGGGCAGGAGACTCAGGTTACCCAATAAGACTGTGGGAGATAGTCCATAGGAAGTGTCTACACAGTGCTTGGCACATAGCTTGTTAACTGCTGGCTGTTATTATTATAACTAGTGGCCTCGTGCATGAAATTCGTGGGGGGGGGGGGATGTCCCTCAGCCCAGCCTGCACCCTCTCTAATCTGGGACCCCTCGGGGGATGTACAACTGCCGGTTTAGAACAGCCTTCTCACAATCCGGGACCATTGGCTCCTAACCGCTCACCTGCCTGCCTTCCTGATCGCCCCTAACCACTCTGCCTGCCGGCCTGCTTGCCCCCAACTGGACCTGCCCCCCTCCCCCCCCCCCCGCTGGCCCGATTGCCCCCACCTGCCCCCCCTGCTGGCCTACTCACACCCAACTGCCCCCTCGCCAGCCTGCTCACCCCCAACTGCCCCCCATAGGCCTGCTCGCCCCCAACTGCCTCCCCTGCTGGCCTGCTTGCCCCTAACTGCCTCTGGCTCTGCCTCGGCCCTGCCACCATGGCTTTGTCTGGAAGGTCTCCTGGAAGGTCTCCCAGTCTAATTAGCATATTACCCTTTTATTAATATAGATGGCCAGGTTCTCTCTCTTATTTCCCTCGTCTTTACACTGTGACATAATTTACACCATGGCATGCTCTTGTACGAAATTTCTTCTCATAGCAGCAACTGTTTCCAGTTTCGGCCTAAGGGTGGCCTCTGCCTGTGTGCCACATGTAAGTCCCCACCTGCATTACCGATGATTCATGTTGTCTTTGGGATGAGTGCGTGATCACTGTGCCTGACAGCCCAACGCAGCAGGGTCCCTATCAGGCAGTTGTGGAGCAGGGACAATGGTCTGGAATCCCCCGTAGGGAAGTGCCACTCTTAAGTGCTAAAGTAAGGAGAGTCTGAGGAGGAGAAAGCCCAGGGCAGAGGGTAGCATGGGCCGGTCTATGAAGGAGGAATGGTGAAATGGTTCCCAGAGGAAGGGGAGCAAACAGGAACTTCTGACAGGTATGGAGGGGCTGCAATTTGAGAAACTTCAGAGAAGATACTGAATCGCATCATTCTCAGGAAGGAGAAACACTTCAGTGGCCTGTTGGAGGCGGTGGCAGAAGAGAAAGCCCCTATGAGAAGGACATCATCACATGAAAGTCTGGAAAAACAAGAATCATAAGGGGGCCTGCATGATGGACAAACCAATTATAGGTGCAGGGAAAGAAAAGAGATTCTGTGCAGGTGGCTTGGCAATTGAGCTTCTCAGAAGAGCCGGCAGGTAAACTGCTTCAAGGCATGTCCCAGTCAGGTGAGGATGCTTTGACTGGCAGCTTTCTCTGAACGTGCTAATTACACGTATTTGTTCTCAAACAAAAATAGCTTATTTATCATGAAGGCTGAGGAGCGAGAGTGAGAGAGCATCTTCTCTCAGTGAACAGGTGGACAGTCTGTTTGAATAATAGGAAATGCATGAATATACCACCCCACAATCATTTCCATGAAGATTTTTGGATGGGGTCCTACGGGAACACATCACAGAAGTAACTGGATCCGGGGCCTGGTTAGGATGAGGGTTCCCAGAGGAAAAGGGCAGGTAGCAGCAAGATTAACAGTGAGACTACCCTGTCTCCCCAGGATCGGCTAGGTTATGATGCAGGAACAAACAACCAAGGCGTATTTCTCATTTACACCACACTCCATTGTGGGTTGGCAGCCCAGCGTGGCCCACTTCTTTCCTGAGTTTCTAGGGAGCCAAAGCAGCCCACGTAGGCTGTCTCCTGTTGCTTCTTCTAATATAAGCCCGTCCTTTGTTTCATTGTCCCCAGCTTTAATAAACACACTCTCAAAGCCACCTGAACATGGGTTTCCCTCCTGCAGAAAGCCAAGAACCCACACCCTTCCGGCCAGCCTGAGGCAGACCTGCTCCAGGCTCCCCATCCCCGCCCAGTACCATAACCAGCCTTCACCCTTGAAGGCGTCAGGAAAACAAGCTCAAATAAACACCCACCATGTTCTCTTTTCTTGCATTCTTCACTTCATTCAAACCATCTCACACAAGCATAACAAGGGAAACTTTCAAAAACTCTGCAGGCATACCTCAGAGATAATGTGGTTCGGTTCTAGGTCATAGTTATAAAATGAGTATCAAAATAAAGCAAATCATAATCTTTTTGCAGGTAGAGGGTCTTGTCTTCAATTTGTAAAACACACCACACCTGTGAGGCGTGATAAAACAAGGCACGCCTGTACTTTCACCCTGCCCTTCCCCCGCTCCAAAACCGGCAGCAACGCCCTCCTGCCTGGGACATCAATTCTGGGAGTCTAATCCCAGTGTTCAAGGCTTCCCAGACCTTTCTCTCCCTCCTACTGAACACAAACTCTCTTTTCCAGGTCTCATGGTGTCTGCGTGGCCCCTCTGCTCCCTTCCATGCCCTTCCCCAGCTTGCTACCAGGGCACTGCTTCCCCTGGCCCCTGGTCAGCTGATAGGGGCTTTA